CCTAGCGGTAAAAACCCCCGGAAACGGCCCGGCCTCTGCACTCGGGCGAGAGTGCAGAGCTTCAGCTCAGATGAATGAAGTTGCCCATAAAAAACTAAAATGTAGATGAAAATAATATGTAGGGGAGAGAAGAAAAACAAGAGAAACTTGTTGTATATTTTTCTTATCATTTTGAGCTCAACATACGGATATATATATAGGGTTGGAAAAGACGTTACAAAACCCGTAATTAATTCCGTAACGTTCGTCATAATGTATAGCCATTATGCTCATTTTAATTTCTAATTAAAGTATATTTTTAATTACAAAATATATTAGCATTCATTAAGGCAAAATTACCTTTTCTCCAACAAAATATCCAACAGTCTCCCTCAAAAGACAATACTGACTGAAAACTCAAAATCAATAAATAAATCAATAAATCACAAAAAGAAAATAGGTTGGGCAACCTTACGTATGGTGAATTCGGGAGAGGTAGCTTTCGGCTTTGAACCTTTCCTTAGTGAGTTCATCGCCACCTGAGGGACATAATGGACTAAGCCTTGAATTAGGCCCCTTAAATCAGGTATTGATAAAAACACACACAATACGTTTTCATCTATTGAGCAAAGCGGGTTGAGTGTTAAAGGCCATGATCATAATAAACCGACTCATGAGAGTTTCTAGGGGTCAGCCCTGCCCCCCCCCCCCCCACCCCCCCCCAACCGCGGACATTACGGTTCTTCTCACATAGGTAAGTCCTCAAAGGGTACTACATTTGTTTATTTAATACTCCCCACAATACGCACGTTGGACTTATTAAGAGTAAAACTCAGCCTAGCCAGCTGTATCATAAGAGCATCGTCATCATAGAGAATGGGTAGTAACGCAAGCTACATAGTGATATATGAATATATCTGGGTCGATGCTCCACACGAGTGTCACTAGTCCAGCTTGTTTCTACCACATTGAACCAACATTGGGACTAAGTCTCCAAATAAGGGTTGGGTTGCTGCTGTCAGTGATCTCATCTATGGGCTTAACCCCATCTCCCTCGGTGAATCCAGAACCACACTCCTAGATAATCCCTTAGTCAAAGGGTCATCAAGATTTTTCTCAGACTTTACAAAACTTTGCCTATCAGGCGTTGTATTTATTTATCACATTCTTATATTATTTTGTAATTAGTCCTTCATATTGTTTGAATTTGACATTAGGTTATCTTCTTGTTATGTTATTTAAAATTAGTCTCTCCAGGCAAGAGTACAAGAAGCAAGAGGAGAGATTAATTTCAAACAACTTATAAGGATAAGCCTAATAGCAAATTTTTTTATTATTATTTGATGGACTAGTTTCAATATAAATTTTATTCATCATATAGAAATAAGTTAGGTGAAAACTTGTGTCAACTTAAGTGGATAGGGAATAGTGTGTCCACCAAAGTTTTTAACCACTCATATTTCCTAGGGATCCTTGTATTATATAAAAAGGTGTTTTATATTAATAAATATGTGGCTACAAACTTTGGTGGACATCAACTTAAGTTGATAGTGTTGCGCGCCGCGGAAGCCCGATTAGACAAAATCAATAGCACACACAAGAACCACAATAGATCACAATAGCCACAAGTAACCCAATCACAGTAAGAACACAAGATATACGTGGTTCGACAATGTGCCTACATCCACGGGGCAAGGAGGGGAGAGTTTTACTATTTGAAATCAAGGGGAATACAAATCAGGGTTACAAATCTTACTAAAACCCACAAATAAGCCCACTTAATCTCTCCAAATGGCTCCAACAATAGAAGCCCCAAATCTCCTTGATTGGCTGCTCAAAATCTTCTCCTTAAACCCTAAAAACGAGTTAAGGGTATTTATACAACTCCCAAACGAAACGGGTCTGGAAACAGAACCCAGGCCCAAACCGCTTCGGCGGTCGACCGTGGCGGTCGACCGCGATGCCATCGCGGTCGACTGCACCAAG